AATAATGTACAGTATGTGGAAAATAATGTGTTTTTTAACCTTAAACCGCATAAACACATTTCATTACACCAAATAATGTTCTTTTTAGCAGCATCATATGACCCCTTTAATAATTAAAAAAATATATTTTTAGTATGACTGCTAATTCTTTTTATGTTTTAATAAGTTCAGGCCAGAATAAATATGTTGCTTAATTTTTACACCTATATATGCATTATGTTGAAAGATGATGGAACATTATTTCACCCATATTTTGACATTTTAATTTCACAAAGAAAACATTGTGAACATTAAAGAACACAATTTACTCCCATTTAATATGCTTTCTATGTATATAAATTCACTTCTCTAATTTAATTTGAAGGGGACACCAAAATGGGACGTCTCGTTTTTGACCGTCTGTTCTGTTTTACAGTTATGAATGAGATTTTTCATTTGCATGGGATTTAGGAGAAAATGTACTTGAAATTGCCATGAAGTAAAAATCATAATGAATAAAAAATACACACAGCAAGTTTGTTGAGTAAATCGAAATTCCCTTACGAAAACTCACCATGGTTTTATTATAGTAAAAGTGTAGTAACCATGTTTTTTTGGTTTTATTTGTAGTAAAACCATGGTTCATTTCATAAGGGTTAATTTCTTGTCAAAAAAAATTTTAAAAACATGTTTTAGTTTTATGTTTACCCGTTTTTTTTGTTTGTTTAGTAGATGCTTTAACATAAATACAACTCACACAGCGTGTTTTGCTTTTACGGGGCTGTTAGCAAACACTCGCTAGATGCGTCACCTAAAAAAGGGCATAAAAACCAGAACAAACCCTAATATATTAAGCTTCTTAATTAATTAAATCGCATTAATGTAATTATTCTAATACTAAAACTGTGTTTTCAGACCATCACACCTCATTGGATGTAACTTCTTCCGGCGACGTGCAAGCACTTCGCCAGATTGTTCGAGCCGTTTCCCCTGCTGCAGCAGCAAGCACGAGCCACCGAGGCGAGGTTTTACATTTCAAATGTAATGTGTGGTAGGTGTTACAACCGAAAACACCGTGTACATCTCTTTAAAACTGTCCTCCCGAGTAGGGATGGGCGTATCGATCCAAAGTATCGATATATCGATACTGCCGCGAGTATCGAAAGTATCGATACTCAAACAAAAAATATTGATACTAAGGTGTGTTTTATTTACCAGTGATTTTGTTCATTTACAAAAAAAAAAATCATACAGTATAGATTGAATTGGACGAATAACCTTTGTTAGCAAGTAATTGTGTAGGATAGAACTATTCTCCTGCTCATCTGGACACGCAAATGTTGCAAGACAGAACTAATCAATCACAGAGAGCATTCACTCACTGCTGACAGTGCAGTCAAACAGGGCTGCGTTTCCCAAAAGTATCATAAGAAAGCATTAAAGCTTTTGGGAACGGCAGCCCTGAACAATGCTTATCAGAGGACAGAAGGACAGAGTTATTTCACAATAAACAAACTGAAATTGTAGCCTACATAGTTTGTGCAATTACAGTTATTTAAATTGAACGTTGAAAGATAATATTGATCATGCTCTATTCTGTAATGTTAATAGAAATCATACACTGTCAGAATAAAAAGGTTGCATTTTATGCATGCAACAGCAAATTCTAAGCGCACATGCATCTGCCGCTTTAAATTCTTGAGCTCGTTACAGCAGGATGGATTGGGGCACTGACAGTCCCTTAGGAAAATGAACCATGGTTTTACTAAAGTGACCATAGTTCAACTAGTATTTTTAGATTTGAATCATGTGTAAACAAAAAACATATTTGAACCATGTGTAAACAAAAATATAACCTAATAAGTTACAATTAAGGCATATTGAATGAAGGCATATTGAATGTTAAAATGCGTTTTAAACAAAGTTAAGTGCTTATTACCCATTTTACTCTTAGTAATTTAATAATTTAATACATTTCACAATTTAAAACTTTAGTTCAGAAGTATCGAATCGGTATCGATATAGACGATACTGCCTTGAAAAATATCGGTATCGTATCGAAAACAAAATAAGTGGTATCGCCCATTCCTACCACCGAGTCCCTCACTGAGCGCCTCGCATGTTTCTGTCTCGCGCTAAGATGGTGGGCTGGACCGACACATTTGCGCGCACGATTGTGGGTCCAAAAGGCGCCACGACATCAACAACATTTATGCTGTGCGATAAATACATGCATTAAAAAGTTCCTATGCACGTTGATTTGAACTTTACAAACCTAAAATGGGCGTTAAATGCGAGACACCGACTAGCCTGCTGGATAATGTTGCAGAAGCGTGGCCGCCACTTCTCCATGTTGACCTGGATCCGATTAGAAACCTACCAACAATTTCTCAAATACAACTGGGATATTATTAAAGAGCAGTGTGTTGCTTAAGGATCAATTCTCACTATTAACTAATTATTAACTACTACTTTGGCCTCAATAAACTCCTAATTTGCTCTTTATAGTTAGTTAAGTATATATATATATATATATATATATATGAAGAATCACATATCCTACAAACACAAGTCAATCCTGTTGCTAGTTGTTTTCAGTCTGCACACGCAGCGCCACTTACCTGTGAATTACCGAATTAAGGGGGAAATAACACCGAATTAGGTGGCTCAGTGCAGCTACACCGGCGTTAAATGTCGACAAACGTTTGAAATCTGTCGACTGGAGAACGAGTTTGCTATTGTTTTACCGAGGTTCTTTGGATGGCCAGACAAAAGGTAACGCTAGCTAGCTAGCTACACGATCGCTCCCGACCCAACGTGCCTGTGTACGTACGCGAGTGGTGCATCCTGGGAGTTGTCGTTTTTGCGTTCACTGTGAAAATGAAAAGATGGCTGAGGCACAATGTGGTTCCTCAGAACACTTGGAAATGCCTCATATATACTCAAAAACTTCAATATATATATTTTAAGCAGAGCTGGGTAGTAGCTGATTACATGTAATCTGGATTACTTAATCAGATTCCAAAAATCAAGGAGGCTATTTGTAAATAGATTAAATTACATTTTAAAATACCTGTAATAAGACTATAGTTACTTTTTTATTGATTACATGATTACTTATTATTCACCATTATACATAAATTGTTCATAATTTATTGATTTCCCCCTATTTCCTCTTTTTCATCTTTTAATTGTTCCTTTCTAAAATATCCTACCGCTTATATACATTCAGAGAGTCTTCCAGTTTTGTGGACATTCACACAAAGACCAGTCCTAATTACAGGGGGCTGTAATTACACAGAAAACTGAGAGGCCACACAACATTTGACCACTGGATTTGCAAAAATAATTTTCAGGGGTAAGATGTGTTTCAACATTGCATCAACTATGAACACATTAATTTTTATTTGATTATCTCATTCATGACAGATAAATGTATGAGCCATTCTGTTTGCATACATTGTTTGTATTAAATCAAGGACAAATACTTAACCCAGTGAAACTGACATTTTCCTTCTGAATCGTCCCCTAGCTATGATAAACAGCTGCTGTGGTGCTCAGTTCGATGGCACACCCTCAGAAAAAAAGGTACAAAAGCTGTCACCTTGGCAGCACCCTTTCAAAAGGTACTGATACGGTGCCTTGTGAAAGTATTCGTACCCCTTCATTTTTTTTCATGTTTTGTTATGATGTTGCCTTATGTTAAACTACTTTAAATAGTTTTCCCCCCACATCAGTCTACACTCCATAATGACAAAGCAAAAAAAAAAAAAACCCGGTTTGGTGAACTTTACAAATTTATAAAAAAAAAATAAAATAAATAATAATAATGTTGTATAAGTAGTTGAATGGGACATGTGAAATTTAGCTCAGGAGTATTCCAATATCGCTTGTAGATGTTACTGCACTCTGAATGGATCAACTTGTGGCAAATTCAATTGAGTATGATTTGGAAAGGCACACACCTCTCAATAAAAGGTCTAACAGCTGAAAATGCGTATCAGTGCAAAAACCAAGTCCTGAGGTCGAAAGAACCACCTGTAGAGCTCAGAGACAGGATTGTGTCAAGACGCCGATCTGTGGAAGAGTTCAGAAAAAATTCTGCTGCATTGAAGGTTCACAGAAACATGTAGCCTTATCCTTAATGGATGAAGTTTGGAACAACCAGGACTCTTCCCAGAGCTGATGGCCTCTTGGCGATGGAGAAGGGCCCTGGTTAGAGTGGTGACAAATGCTCACTTTAGTTGAGCTTCATGGTCACAGGGGCGTGTCTAGAGCATTTTAAATGTGGGGGGGGGCAGTCGGGGAAACAAGCCTATGGCAAGACATCTGGTAGGGGGGGCACCTGGGGTGGCCAGCCAAATTTCAGGGGGGGCCGGTGCCACCCCTGGCCACCACGTAGACACGCCCCTGCATGGTCATATTTGGAAATGGGAGAAACTTACAGAAGGACAAACATTAATGCAACACTCCACCGATCTGGGCTTTATGGCGGTGCTGCCAGACTCAATCATCTACTCTGTGAAGACACATGAAAACCCACTTGGATTTTGCAAAAAGCATCTAAAGGACTCTCAGACTGTGAGATGCAAGATTCTCTGGTCTGATGAACCTCAGTTTCAAGCAGTTTAATGTCTGGAGGAAAGCAGGCACTGCTCATCACCTGCAGAGCACCATCCCAACAGTAAAGTGAGATGGTAGCAGCCTAATGCTGTGGGGGTGTTTTTCAGTGGAAGGGACTGGGGGACTCGTCAGAGTAGAAGCAAAGCTCAATGTGCCAAAATATAGAGAAAGCCTTAATAAAAACCTAGTCCAGAGCATTCAGAACCTCAGACTGGGCAGATGGTGACCCTATAGCACACAGCTTGCAATAGTGGCTTATGGACAACTCTGTGAATGCCATTGAATGGCCCAGCCAGAGCCTGGGCTTCAAACATTTCTGAAGAAACTTAAAAAAAAGTCTGTCGGCCCCCCCATCCAACCTGACAGAGCTTGGGAGGTGAAGAGGTGAGGAGAAGAATGGCAAATGCAATTTGCCAAATGCAAATGTGCAAAGCTTGTCACATCATACCCAAAAAGACTTGAGGCTGTAAAGGTGCTTGTACTGCGTTAAGGGTATGAATACTTATGCAATGTAAGTATGTCAGTTTTAGATTTCGATAAATTTGCAAAGATGTCAAATCAGTTTTTTGCTTTTTTATTATGGTGTATGGATTGTAGATTGATGTGAAAAAAAGTAATTTAAAACAGTTTAACTTAAGGCAGCAATATAAAATATGAAAAAAATGAAGGGGTACAAATACTTTCGCAAGGCACTGTATATCCCATTTATGTACTATGTATACTTAGTTACTAATACATACTTTTAAGGTACTAATATACACCCTTTAGGGGCACATATGGTGCAAAGGTGTATTTCAAAAGGGTACTCCCTTTGTAACAGCTTTTGGACCTTTTTTCCTGACAGTGAACAAGCCTAATGTGGTTTAGACCCAAAAGTGCCATGTGAAAAGACACCTGCTGAAGGATGGGAGTGGAACTGAATTCTGGTTCAGAACAAGCAAATTGTGAAAACAGCCTGACAGCCTGTCATTATCTCAGTGTTTGAGATAAATATAGTCCTGAACTGTTGCACAGTGCACTTTGCCCCACTGAGCAAGAGCATGATGACCTTGTAAGCACATGCAACAGCCTCTGTTGTATCTTATTTTGCCCTGTTGCAGTTCCACTTTAGTAAGAGGCTCATCTCTCTGGCCCATTTGCATTGCTGCAACCTCGTACTCCACATATTAGTAGATGTAGGAAGAGAAAGAGAGTGTGTGTGTGTGTGTGTGTGTGTGTGTGTGTGTGTGTGTTTGTGTGCGTGTGTGCGCGCATGTCGGGTTAATGTAGAGGAAAAAGACCTGCTCAGAAATGAGTGGAGAACAAAGGAGAAGCATTAACAAAATTCATCATCTGTCCGAGTGTCGTGATTGAGTTAATTACCTCATTACTCAAACAAACCAGCCACACCATCCGCAAACAGAGGGTGATATTTATATTGTCTCATGCAGCGTCTGCAAGGGTGGGGATATTAAATTATAACTCTTCTTCTGTCCTTTCTCTCCAAAAACTTTTAGAAACTGATGCAAAGAATGGTAAATTATCAAAAATGTCTTTCATACCAGGGTTTTGTGACACATGGTTGTCAATCCAGATTCTGCTAATAAGAAATCAGAATACATTAATGAAGAATGTAACTTATTCTTCATGTGTGATGACTAATGACTCCCTCGGAATGTATATAAATGTTATTCTGTTTATAATCTTATCGAAAACTTTACGCTGCTAAAGATCCCTTTTTATTCCTTGGCAACTTACAGTATCTCAATGACATCATCTGGTGACCCTTTTTTGGCATATTTGCTTGTGAGGTACAGACTGCAGCAGTGGCCTTAAACTATTTATACACTTAGACCATGCTTAAAATGTCTTTGTAGACAACAGCCGATTGTATCATATTTGATTCTTACATTAAATAACTGAACAAAAACCAAATTTTGAACAGTTTACATATTGTTCAAATACATATTACATACAGTTTACATAATGTCAAAGTTAATTTGAAATCAAATTAAAGCAATGAAGTGGCACTCCAGTACTCCAGTTAAACTGGACTGAAAAATGACTTCTTTATAGATTCATGGTAAATATTCAGTTAATTCTTTATGTATTTCACGCTTGGAGGAAATCAGAGACAAAGGCAAGAGAATCCAAATGCAGATGAGTTTATTGAAGGAACAGGAACCAGGATGACAGAAACCATGAACAGGAGCGAACTAAACACACAACAGTCATGAAAGAATAAGACTAGATAGAGGGCAATCACAGGGGTTTAAAGGGGTCATATGATGCCCATTTTCCACAAGTTGATATGATTCTTTAGGGTCTTAATGAAAAGTCTGTAACGGTACACTCTTAAAAATAAAGGTGCTTCACGATGCCATAGAAGAACCTTTTTGTCTAAATGGTTCCATAAAGAACCTTTAACATCTGAAGAAACTTTCTGTTTCACAAAAGGTTCTTTGTGGCGAAATAAGGTTCTTCAGATTACAAAAAGGTAAGAAAGAGATGGTTCTTTAAAGAACCTTTGACTGAATGGTTCTTTGTGGAACCAAAAATGGTTCTTCTATGGCATCGCTTGAAGAACCTTTTGAAGCACCTATATTTTTAAGAGTGTAGTGTAAAAAACACCTTTTTTACCCTGTCAAAAACAGCTATTTTCAGATCAAGCCGTTTTTGTAGCATTTTCCTTTAAATGTTAATGAGCTCTGCTGACCCCGCTCCTCTCTTCAGAGCTGCTCTCTGAGGGACTGTTTACTTTAGCCGCATTCATCGTGAAACTTGCTAATTAGCACATTATTAGGAAAGGAGATTTGCAAAGATTCATGACAAAACATTATACTCACTTCTTCTGTAGATGAGGCTGGATCATGAATAATTCGCGCGAACATAGATGCATTTAGGTAGATTGGGGGAGCATTGTCATAGGGAAAGGGGCATGGTCAATTAATTGTCAAGGCAAGGCAAACAGGGACAGGAACTGAACAAATGGAAGTGAACACATTACAAGACAGGGGAACACAAGATTGGGATCGTGACATTGTATATTGTTTTGCTTTATTATATCATTATATCTTGTCTAATTTGTCAGTATTAAAATCAGTGGATTTCAGTACTGTAGCTTCCACTTATTTTAAGGTCACAAACAATATGAATATGGAATATGTACAACATTTGTAAAGCATGAGCTTACTCATTTCCAAAAGGTACACTT